AGTCCTTCCACATCGTCATATAACTCAGAATATCAAGGTGGAAAATCCCACAATATCTGCTTTGAACTGGGTTATCTGAGTCCACACTGCCATATATCCCAGTTCAAATCAGAAAAAGTGGGATTTTATTCAGCTGTGTGGAAAGGGCCCCAATCATCTTCAGGACTTAGCAAATTCCCAAGGAGGCCATTTTCCCCCAGACACTAGCAAGTGAAACCACAGGTAAACAGTAAATTTGTGTGTATAACACCTGCTCAGTTCTAACCAGTTAACCTGAAACCTCAAGGATCACCCAATCCTAAATCTTTTTACTTGTGAACAAATGTGAAAGGGGAATGCAGCAAAAAAGTATTAACAATAATATGCATCATACATGGATACTTTTAGTGAATCCTGGCTAAGGCAAACTAAGGTTAGCTTATTAAAAGGTGGGACTAGAGCTCAGTAGCAGATTGAGGGTTTTGCAGGGGGAAAGTCAGCAATTAAAAAGTTATGCTGCAATTATGTGACAGACCTCTGCTGGAGCTTCTGTGAAGTGGTATTCATTTACAGCACAACCCCTATATTGTATATCTGTGGTTTCATGTATCCTTGTCTGACAAAGTATATCATCTCTAGGAATTTTTAGGTCCTATGTAGGACCTTCATTTCAACAGGATCCACTATTATCGATGGTTCTGCATATCTTGCAGATATGGAGGCCATACTGTAGACCAGAGCTTTCCAAACTGTGTCGTGACACGTTAATATATGCTGTATGAGCGTAATGAGAAATGACAAAAAAAATTGGATATGTATGTCATTATCTTATAAATCATATATTTTTAATATATATATCACTGAAAGACTTTCTTGAGACATGTTATCTCCCTATACATTTTGTATTGACAGTGTACAAACAGTGTTCCTTGACTTATCGCGGGGCGTTACGTTCCAGGACCACCCGCAATAAGTGAAAATCCACGAAGTAGGGATGCTATATTAATTGTAATATTTATACATTATTTATACATTAAGGAATGAGCAAAAAAAAAAGGTGACAGGACATGAGGGGCCACACACCAGTCTCCCTTTCTGAAATGTAATTTTTTTTTGATAATCCACGAAACAGCGAGTCCTTGTAAAGCAAACCGCAAAGTAGCGAGGGAACACTGTATTTCTTATAAAGGTTGCTAGTAAAACTGAATTATGGTGTTGCAAAATGATGCATGTTTAAAAAGCGTGTGCCACCAGATGGGAATGTTTGGAAAGCTCTGCTGCAGCCTGGAATAATGGTGGTACGCAGGCCTAATGTGGTGCAAAGTGGCTTCTTAGATCCCTTTGTATTTTTGACCTGGCCTCAGAAGAACATTTAAACAATGGGCTCCCTCTCCCTCCCGCTCTGATGAACAAATATCTTCCTCTTTGTTAAAGTAATCCCTCAGGGTGATTTATGAAGTTCCTGCTTCCTGCTCCGATAAATTATTTGAGAACACAGAAATGCTGGACCACTCTGACAATCATCATGTCAGACTACACAGAGAAGTCTTTGAAATCCATAAGCATGTGGACAATTTCAACAAAAAGGAGGAAACCATGAAACTGAACAAATCTGACTACCAGTATTTTAAAACAACAGAGTCAAGACAGCAATTAAAGAACAACACTGAAAAACAGGGGAATTCCAGACAACAAACAACCAAGTGCCAGCTAACACCTCTCAAGCAAAGACTGCCTCAAGGCCACAACACGTAACTGAGTTGCAGTGAGTTTTTGGGCTGTATGGCCATGTTCCAGTAACATTCTCTCCTGACGTTTCACCTACATCTGTGAACAAACCTCTGAAGATGTCAGCCACAGATACAGGTGAAGCGTCAGGAGAGAATGCTACCGGAACATAAACATACAGCCTGAAAAACTCACCACAAGTTGGTGATTCCAGCTATGAAAGCCTTTGACAACACAACACTGATTAACTTTGTAACTACAAGGCTAAAGGCAAAGGTAAAGGTTTCTCCTAATTTTAAGTCTAGTCGTATACGATTCTGGGGGGTGGTATTCATCACCGTTTCTAAGCCGAAGAGCTGGCATTATGCAATGTCATGTGGCTGGCTTGACTGCATGGAGTGTCATTACCTTCCCACCGAAGCGGTACCTATTGATCTACTCACATCTGAATGTTTTTGAACTGCTAGGTTGGCAGGAGCTGGGCCTAACAGTGGAAACTCACCTTACTCCCCGGATTCGAAGCACCAACCTTTTGGTCAGCAAGTTCAGCAGCTCAGCGGTTTAACCTGCTGCACCATTGAGTAGCGTATCATGCAAGGCTACTCAATGCGAATCAAGCTTGCTAATTGCAACATTTACACTTGCTTCAACAGACAAGGATTCTCTCCCCCACCCTGGGCATTCCACAGATATATAAACGGTTCTGGCCCAGACTACCTGTCCAAATGTATCTCTTGGTACAAACCATCACGGAACTTAAGATCATCTGGGGAGGCCCTGCTCTCGACCCTACCGGCATTGCAATCACGTTTGGTGGGGACAAGGGTCAGGGCCTTCTCATCAGTGGCCCCCCGCCTGTGGAAAGCTCTCCCCAGAGACATCAAAGTGGCTACCTCCCTCCTGTCTTTTAAAAGAAAAATCAAAACCTGGCTTTGGGACCAAGTGTTCGATTAGTGAGCACCAAGTGAAAGAAGATTTTAACACTTAGGCAATGTATTGTTGAATGCTTTCATGGCTGGAATCACTGGGTTGTTGTAGGTTTTTTCGGGCTTTATGGCCATGTTCTAGAGGCAATCTCTCCAGACGTTTCGCCTGCATCTATGGCAAGCATCCTCAGAGGTAGTGAGGTCTGTTGGAACTAGGAAAAAGGGTTTATATATCTGTGGAATGACCAGGGTGCAATGATTATGGCAATGATTTGACCCGGGCTGGGTTTTAGACTCTGATTATAATTGGCGTGTGTTAATCAATTGTTTTATTTATTGTTTTAATATCTTAATATTTTAATGTACTGTTGTAAAAGATTTATATGATCTGAAGAGAAACCAGTTAAATGTGTGTCCAGTAATCTTCTTCCCCGAATCTACAATTTGGTGATGGATCTAGGCATTATATGTTTTTAACCTGTTTCCCCTTCCACTCCCTCACCCATATTGTGCTTCAGTAGTTATATTTATATTTTTAATGTACCAAACATACCAAGTTTGTATGAAAATGTGACTATTTCCTGTGCTGGTCAATGACCGAAATAAATGATTTGACTTGATTTGAATGTACTGTTGATTGTTTTATTATGATGACACTGTATGATGTTGTTGTGAGGCTGCCCTGAGACCCTCTTCGGGGGTGTGTGTGAGAAGCAAGTGGGTATAAATCTATATTTTAAAAAATGTAATGTACATTTGTGGACTTAACAGAACTCAAAAACCACCGGACGAATTGGCACCAAATTTGGACACAACACGCCTAACAACCCAATGTATGTCCTTCACTAAAAAAATGATTTTGTCATTTGGGAGTTGTAGTTGCTGTGATTTATAGTTCACCTACAATCAAAGATCATTCTGAACCCCACCAATGATGGAACTGAACCAAACTTGGCACACAGTTCTCCCATGACCAACAGAAAATACTGGAAGGGTTTGGTGGGCAATGTCCTTTGGTTTTGGATTTGTAGTTCACATACATCCCGAGATCACTGTGGACTCAAACAATGATAGATCTGGACCAAACTCTATATCAGGGGTCCACAAACCTTTTAAACAGAGAGCCAGGCAACAGTCCCTCAAACTGTTGGAGGGCCGGATTATTATTTGAAAAAAACATGAATGAATTCCTATGCACACTGCACATATCTTATTTGTAGTGCAAAAGACACTTTAAAACAATACAATAATTAAAATGAAGAACAATCTTAACAAATATAAACTTATTAGTGTTTCAATGGGAAGTGTGGGCCAACTTTTGGCTGATGAGATATGATTGTTGTTGTTGTGTGCTTTCAAGTCATTTCAGACTTAGGTTGACTCTGAGCGAGGGCCAGGTAAATGACCTTGGAGGGCCGCATCCGCCCCCTGGGCCTTAGTTTGAGGACCCCTGCTCTATATGAATACTCAATATGTCCAAATGTGAAAACAATTAGAGTTTGGGGAAAATAGAATCTTGACATTTAGGAGTTGTAGTTGCCGGGATTTATAGTTCACATACAATCACAGTGCATTCTGAACCCCACCAACGATAGAATTGGGCCAGACCTCCCACACAGAACTCCCATGTGGGCCACAGCAACGCCTGGCAGGGGACGGCTAGTATAGTAAATAAATAAATATACATCCCGTTTGCCTCATTTCCAACAGACCTCTGAGGCTGCTTGACACAGGTGCAGGCCAAAGGTCAGGAGAGAATGCTCCTGAAACATGGCCACAGCAACCCAGTGATCCTGGCCATGAAAACCTTTGACAACAAATCCTAGAGAAGTTTGAGAGTGCTTCTGTTGGGAGAATCAATCTGAACCCCTTTGGGGGGTCTCTTCTACACGGCTGGCAGTTTGGTGAGCCTCAAAGTTGAGCACACTCTGCTCTTATAGAGAAGCATTACAACGAAGGAGGAAGCCCAGCCTTGTAGGAGTCATGAAAGGTTACACTACTGTTCAATGCGAAATGCCCGGATGGGGTGGCGATTGGAAATGGAAGCCCCCCTACTCTTTGTGGGCAAGTTGAGGGGTTTGTTGGCCTTCCCTTCCCATGAGGGCAAGGAAAGGGGCCCCATTGAGAGGCAGAGCTCAGGCACGTCCTTCCCTTCCACTCTCAGACTCCCCTTCCCATCCTTTCCACTCAGCTTTGTGAAACTGGGAGTCTGAGAGTGGCCAGGACAAGAGCCCTCCCTTCTCACCTTTCCAGGGAGGGAGGGAGAGAGAGGCTGCCATGGCCTCGCGTTTACTCTTCTTCCTCAAAGCCTTGGTCACTTTCCCAACCACTCACAAAACAAAACAAAACAACAGAAAGAACTCTTACCTCTGGCTCATACTCCAAGGGAGAGAAGCAGCAACAGGCGGCGGAGGAGGAGGAAGAGGGAAGAGAGGAGAAGGAGGAGGAGGGAGAGCCAGCCTTTGTCTCTCTCTCTCTCCTTCCCTCTGCCTGCTTTCTCTTCTCTCTCTCTCTCTCTCTCTTTCTGTGTCTCCCTCAAGCACCGCATCCGGGAGCCCGGCCCGTGTCCAGGAGGGCCAAGGGCAGCTCCGGGAAGGAAGAGGAAGTCGCGCTGGAGCCCACGACTGGAAGCAACAGGAGGGAGGAGGGAGGGAAGGAAGGAAGGAAGGGCGCCCGGGAGAAGAAAGGGGCAGGGCTAGCCAGGCACAGCGAGCCGCAGGTGCCTCCTCCTGCCTCGCGGGGCCAAGCCCACTTTGCGCCCCGGGTGACGCCGTGCCAGCCGTCCGAGGCTGCCTGGCTTTCCCAGGGCCTTGGTGTACCTCGGCGGGGAAGTCCTTTGTTTGGCTCTTACGGCCAATGCAGTCACGAAGGCCCCTGAGGACGAGCAGGACGCTTTCCCCTCCACAACAGCTCCCCAATCGAGGTCAATCAGAGGGAAGACTTCGCCCCACTCAACGATAAAGCGACCCGTTCATCTTTCCTTCCTTCCCCTCCTTCCTTCCCTTTCCATCCATCCTTCCTCCCTACCCCATCCCTTCTCTTTCGTCTTTCTGTCCCCTTCCTTCTTTCATCCCTTCCCCTATCTTCCTTCCGCTCCTTCCCTTCCTTCCTTTCCCATCTATCTTTTTAATCCTTCCCCTCGCTTTCCTTCCTTTTCTTCTTTCTTTCCCCTTCCTTCCCCTTCCATCCTTCCTCCCCTTTCCTTCCCTTTCTTCTTTCTTTACCCTTCTCTCCCGTCCTTCCACCCATCCGTCCTTCTCCCCTCCCTTTCCTTCCCCTTCCCCCCTTTCTTTCTTTCCTTCCTTCTCTTCCTTCCCCTTCCTTTTCATCCTTCCTTCCACCCCTCCCCTTTCTTCTTTCTTCCTTCCCCTTTCTTTCTTTCCTTCATTCCCCTTCCTTTCCTTCCTTCCTTCTTTTCTTTCCCTCCCTTTCCATCCTTCTTCCCCTCCCCTTTCTTCTTCCTTCCTTCCTTCCTTCCTTCCTTCCTTCCTTCCTTCCTTCCCCTTTCTTTTTCTTTCCTTCCTTCCCTTTCCTTCCCTCCTTCCCCTTCCTTCCTTCTTTCCTTCCTTCCCTTCCTTCCCCTTCCTTTCCATCCTTCCTCCCCTTTCCTTTCTTCTTTCTTCCTTCCTTCCTTCCCCTTCTTTCCCTTTCTTTCTTTTTTCCTTCCTTCCCTTTCCTTCCTTCCCTCCCTTTCCTATCTTCTCCTTCCTTTCCGTCCCTTCCCTAGCCCATCCTTTCTTCCTCCCTTTCCTTCCCCAGTCCTTCTTTCTTTCCTTCTCTTCCCTTACTCTTCTTTCCTTCCATCCCCTTCCTTCCTTCATCCCTTCCCTTACCCCTTCCTTCCCTTCCCCAGCCTGTCCTTCCTTCCCATCCCATCTGTCCTTTCTCCCTTCCCTTCCCCGGTCCTCCTTTCCTTCCTTCTCTTCCCTTCCCCTTCCTTCCTTCCTTTCTTCACCCGTTCCTTCCCTTTCCCTCATTCCCCTTCTTCCCTTCCCTCCTTCCCAAAAGCTCCTTTACAAATTCAATCGGGGAAGCCATGGAAAGTTGTGTTCTTTTTTAGAGGAGGGGGGGTACTGTTCCATTATCTGGGTGGAGGCCACTAGTTGGCGCTAGAGAGAGAATAGTCTGTTTTATGGGGGTGAAGGGTGGGCTGAACCCTAACCATTTCCTCCTGTTTTCCTGTTATTCCCCCGCCCATGTCCCCTCGTAGAAACAACCATCATCATATGGGAATTGGGGGGAGGGGGGGAATAACCAGCAAAAATGGGGGAAATGGGTTTCTTCCTTCAACTCCCACCCCATAAAAAGAACTGTCCTTCTCTCTCTAGCACTCCCTTGTGGCCTCCACCCAGATAATACAACAGTACCTTTTTTTACTACAAGGAGCTGGATCCAGTATTTATTTTTACGCAATGGTTCCCACGCTTCAGTCCTCCAGGTATTATTGAATTAAACTTCAGCTCCCAGAATTCCTGACTATCACACAAGGTAGCCAGGGTTTCTGGAGTTGAAGTTCAGCAACTATGTTCAGACTTGGTGCCCTTTCATGAAATTCAAATAGAGTCTTTTATTCTTCTTACCATTAGGACCAAGGTTGCCATTCCATGCAACACATCTACATACTGCAGACAACACTGATGTGTCACAGCACACAATTTGAAAAGCTCTGATTTAATTGTTGCAGGGATGCAAATCAAGCAACCCTAGGCCAAGGATGCGAATCAAGCAACCCTCCAAATATGGTCGGACTGCAACTCCCATCGGTATAGCTAACAGTGAGAGTGTTGAGAGTTGTCATCTGCAGTGCTACGAAATTTCCAACCTTGGCCCTAACAATCTGTTCTAAATAATATTTGAAAGCAAGTTCAGCAAGTCTGAATAGGCTATTAAGAATTGTGGGAGTTGAAGTCCAAAACACCCAAAGGGCCAAAGTTTGCCCAGGCCTGTTATATAATATGCAATGTCCTTACATAGGAGCAAAGTCCAGTAAATTTGGCAGGATTTATTTCTGGGTATGCCTCCACAGGACTGAGCTTTCAAAATACTTCAAAAGTTACTCCATCTGTGCCAAGTAGCACTTGCTAGAGAGTGAGTGTTTTCCAAAACATGGTTTTGAAAGAGCAGGTTGCTACATTGCTCTGGAGGAGGGAGGCTTTAATACAGAGCTTCCTAAACATTTCATGTTGGCAACACACTTTTCAGACCTCTGTTATTTTGCAACACAGTCATTCAGTTTTACTATTAGTAATTTTTTTTTGTTGCATCAGGAGCAACTTGAGAAACTGCAAGTCGCTTCTGGTGTAAGAGAATTGGCCATCTGCAAGGACGTTGCCCAGGGGACGCCCGGATGATTTGATGTTTTTATCATCCTTGTGGGAGGCTTCTCTCATGTCCCTGCATGAGGAGCTGGAGCTGATAGAGGGAGCTCATCCGCCTCTCCCCAGATTCGAACTTGCAACCTTTCGGTCTTCAGTCCTGCCGGCACAGGGGTTTAACCCACTGCGCCACTGGGGGCTCCACTATTATTACTACTATTAGTAATAATAATACATTTTATTTATATTCTGCCCTTCTCCCTAGGGGATTCAGAGTGGATTACGGCATTTTACATACATAGACAAATATTCAGTGCCTTTACATTCATATACAATGAGACACACAAATACAAACAAAGGCAGAGGCTTCTCCTTTCATTTCCGGCTTCTGAAGGCAGTGCTCATCTCTGGCTTTGGGGAGGTGCTTTTCTCCTTTTTCAAGCTAAGGAGCCCGCATTGTCACTTCTTGGTTGTGTGACCAGCAAGATTGCTTGGAGTGTCTCTTTGCTTTTTCCTGCTGAAGCAGTACCTATTTATCTACTTACATTTGCATGTTTTTGAACTGCTGGATTGTAGGAACAGGAGTTGACAATGGGATCTCACCTTGTCTCATGGATTCGAACTGCCAATCTTCAGGTCAGCAATTCAGCCAACCTTCAGGTCAGCTGTTCACCAGCACAAGGGTTTAACCTACTGCACTACTACAGCTCCTATACTAGCAAACTGGAGGTTAAATAAACCCAGAATCTTATATAAGAGATATGGAGAAATACATAAATTGTAATAACGTGTCAGGAGACACAACAAATCTCATGAAATCTTTTATTGATATTTTTCAAAAGATGTCATTTGTAAGATAAGATACATTTCCAAGGTTTTTGTCATGTCTCCTTATGTTCATGTGACACACCTACATATAATATTATAATAATAAACGTTATTAATACCCCGCCACCATCTCCCCGAAGGGACTCGGGTGGCTAACATGAGGCCAAGCTCAAACAAGTTACAATAAAACAAAAGTACATATGACAAAACAATAACATCAAATAAAATACTTAATGAAACATAGTAATAAAATTAAAAAATCATAATAAAAAAATGATAGAATGGTAATAGACTTACCATTCTATCATTAGACAAAAAGAGTGAGGTCCATGAATAAAAATGGATAGAATTTAATGAAACTCATGGATGAGATAGGTAGAAAGTGCTCTGATTTTGGGGGTGGGGGGCTTGGACGGAGTAGGAGTAGAATTAGTCTTCAACTGAGGGATAAGATGAATAGCATCAGAGAGGCAAACTGGACCTGGGACGGGACAAGGCATGGAGATTGATTGTTCAGTCCCTGAAAGCTGTAGTCAACACTCTTAATGTGTCGGGACACACGACTTGAAAAGCTCTGATTTAATTGTTGCGGGGGGAAAGAAAGAGTAAGCTGTTGACCTGATTAAGGATTCTGCACTGCAGTTCATGTTCTATACAAGATAGAAGGACTTTTCTAATTTAGATTACAAACAGATACACTGCCCCTGTCTCACCGTATACCACACCCTACACAAGGCTGACATGGAAGAGCAAAATAAAATAAAATACCTGTAACGGTACAGAAAATCACAGGCATGCACACACCCGGCACAACCTCCACAGTAATCAGCCAGGGATGGGATCCTTACTGATGTCTCCACAATAGGTGGAGATTGTGGGATATTTATGGTAAATAGATATCATCACAAACATAATAATAAGTTGGTTGCATTTGTATTGTTCTTAATATGCCTTCTTCTCCTTTCGTGGTTTAACTCGCACGGCAAAGCTAGTTCATATCAGAAGGATGTGGTTTGTTTTTCCTCTGAATGCTAACTTTGTCCCAATTGTAGCAGCCAAAAGGGAAATGGAAATAAGAACTTGCCTTCTGAAAGGAATGGTTACCACTTCCTTTAGCAGTAGCCAAGAGAAAAGACATTCCCGTCCCCCGTCCCCCGTCCCCCGGTACTTTCTCAGCTGTATTTCTTTGATGCTGTGTTTGTGGGATGCCTTTGTTTCCTGGCTGCCATTATGGTGCACTGATTATTAGACCAAGTCGAAGTGCCAGCATGGCAAGTTTACTATGCCACCTTGGTCAGGTCATTCCCTTCCAGCCTCCTCTATCCAATAGATCTACCTCTCTGTGATGCTGTATTTGCTGATGATAAAAGTTTCCATCTCTACTTCTTATGCTGTGGGCATTAAAGGCAACTTAATACAAGGCAAAAACAATAAATGAATTAATGTAATGATAAAATAATAGACGTTACCACAACAAAGGCATAATCAGTTACATGTAGTGATGCAAATCTTTAGCTATTCTTTAATGCTATCAAATAATTTTAATACTTTTCTCCTTGCTGAATTATTTATTTACTAGCTAACTAGCCTGAATTGTATTGATAGTTAATACATCAGCGTTGAGTTGCTAGTTCCTAACTGAGTCAGCTGGTCTAGTCTAGTTGGAATTATTTAATAAG